GATTCAGTGAGCTAATAAACATACCTAATACATATACAGTGACTGTAACAACACGCTCAAGCATATGAGAGATGGTGAGGATGGTGCAGAATCCGGCAAGGTTCAAATCTATTGTTCATAGAGTCTCTGAGTCTCTTATAGTCTGCTTGATGGCACCTAACAACATATCAACAACGTGCACACAACGAAGTGCACAGTAGGCCCATAACAAAGGGTAACTTCTCAACAATCCCTCCCCATCTCCCATCCTAGCCTCACATATTTTCTTCAGAAGAGTTCTTCAGACAAGGCAGTCAGACCTCAAAGATAGCCCTAGAGGATCACATCCTTGGGTTCCTCTTGGGGCTGGAGATAGTGTGGCAGACAGGGCAACCCACTGAAGCTAAACAGAACCCAGGCAGTTGATGAGAGTTGGCAAGGGAAGCAGGACGGCCAGGTTCTGGGAGTTTCCATTGAGGGGAAGTCCCAGGTGTAGGTGCGGGGGTGCCAGGCTGGCCTCACCCAATATCCTGGCCCCAGGAGATGTGGGTTCAAGGAAGAAAGTGGGCCAGAGGCTAGAACTTAACACCATTGGTGCTATGACCTCTTTACCAACTCTGGAGGAGTGAGCTAAGATAGGTCTCCTTCTTCCTCCAAAGCCTCTCAATTCTAGACCCATCTACTTTCTTCAGACCTTGTATGGAAGCTTGGTGTCTGGAAAAGAGGAACTGGAGGTCCCCAGTGCACAGAGAAGAGACAGCCCCCAGCCCCTGGATGGAGGTTATATGCAAACAGACTGCTACACCCACACACAGGTTGACGGGCACACACCTGGAGCGCTCACCTCACACATACTCCAGGCAACCTTGGAGGCAGACATGTTCACTCCTGGGAGGAGGACAGGTCAGGGCTGGATTGCAGGAGGTAGGGGGTTGCTAGTTGCATGGTAGAGCAGGTTCAGTGGATATTATTCTGTTTGGTGAGGCTCCAGCTGGGCAAATTCAAGAATCTCTTAACATGAAGGCTGGCCAATTTGGAGTCCTGTGTTTGATAGTATAAGCTCAGGGCTAAGCCTATGGATTGCCTCTGTTTCATTTTCAGGTGGAAGGGATGAAGGAACAGGTGGAATCATTCCATTGCAGGGTCACCTGGTATCCCAGAGTCTTGTTTTGATTACTGGATAATGCTTTCCTTCTCTCCCTTGTGAGACAGCTAAACCCAAGTAGGAAACAAGAACAGAGAATGGGCCCCTCTTCTTTCTGATCAGAGTGGCTGACTGTCAGGGCCTAGATCCAAAGTCTTTGCACATACTCTACTCTACCCTATCTTCTTTCTACTCTTCAATTTTATTTCCAGAAGCCTTTTCTAATTTCCTGTCTAGGAAAAAAAAAATCCTACTACTACCCATTCTCATTGTATCACATGCCTTTCCACTGTAGAGATACTAGCTGAAGTTTTGTTTGATAAATATCTGACTCTTCCACCAGACTGTAAACCTGCCAGGGCAAAGACCACATCGGGGTATTCCTAGGACATAGTACAGTGTTTGGCATGCAGTATGGGTTTAATAAAACTTTGTTGAACTAATGAATGATACATGTCCAGGGAAGACTAGAGGCGTTCAGGCTAGTTCTCGGTTTCAAAATTGAGGCCTTGTTCTATAGTCCGATCTAGGCAGCACTGGGGCTGGTAAGGATTTTCCACATACAAACTCATTCACCAGAAGAGTCAACAATCTGGCAAGCAGCAGAACAGGCTGCCACAAGAGGCGGGGCAGAGAAACTACCAGGGGCAGGGTTGGCACCAGCCTTGGTACAAAGCAGGCCTAGGTGGAGGAGGTGGGAGAAGCAGGGAGGAAGGGAAAGAAGACCCATGTTGTACAAAACATGTTTTCATCACACGCTCCCTGGGTGCCCTGGTCTCCAAGCCCCGACAGCACTTCCGTGCCTTAATGATGTCCTTGGGGGTTGTAACACAGCCTTCTCCCCTCCCCTGCAGACATCTGCCAGCCACCTCTGAGCATGGCCCAGGACATCCCCCACAGAACCAGACCAGGCCTGGAAAAATGGTTTAGTTAGTGTCCTCATGCTGGAGGGAGGGAGAAAAGGTATAAATTTAGAATGGGCAATATAGCAAAGTCAGGCCAGGTAGGACAGATGTCTAGATTCTTTTCCTTTCCTTATAACCTCTCCTTTAAGTATTTGCTCTGTGATGAGGAAAGCAAAGGAAGCCTGCTTCCAGTGTCCTCTAAGACATCATCTCTCCAAGGTGCAAGATGACAAGAGTAGAACAGCCACAAAGACAGACTAGAGACAAGGATGATCCAGAGCAAAAAAAATGCAGGGAGCCCACTTTACCAGTTTCCAGAGTGGGACGCCCTCTTCCCAGGCATGCTCCTGGTATCCTGGGCAGAACACTAGTTCCACTGCAGAATGAGGAGTGGAGGGTGGAAAGAAGAAGACTCTGAATCCCTTGGGATACCTCTCTTCCCTGTCCCTCAATTTGTCATTGTTATTTGCAGCTACTCTGCGGGAGAAAGATGGGCAATCAATTCCCATGTGATTTATTGCCTCTGAAAACCCTCTGGTGGGTGAGCTATGGATTGGTTCTGGCTCAACAACAACAACAATAGCATTTGGTTAGACTTCCAGCCTGCTGTATGAAAGAGACCTCAGTTGTTGGGTCCTGGGAAGGGGCAACAGAGTGAGAGGAGGTGGTAGTGGAAATCCCTGAGGGGCCAGCTTAGGGCAGGTCTTCTTGGATGTCATTCCCTGGCTGCTGTACTAAAAAGGCTTCCGGAAGGGAGGAGCTTCAGCTACCCAGACAAGGATGGACAAACACTCATCAGAAGTAAAGATAGAGGCAGACAGACAGACAAACTAAGACAGAGAGGAGGAAAAAGGAGCTTTGGTGTAGTAGCCCATAGCATGTTGTAGCACCAGCCAGAACAGGGAGGAGCGAGGTGACAGACGGAATCCCCTCCCATCGGAGGCTACCTCAAGTATTTTGCCCCATTTTAACTTCCCTGTCCCCATGTGATGCTCCAGCCACATAGTGTCAGAGCTCAAGCTCTTGGCCTCCAGGCCCAGATCTGAGTCTCTCTGAAGAAAGAAAAGGAGAGAGCTAGGAGATAGGACATCCCAGTAGGGAGCACGTCATGGGGGTGGTGCCTGGTTCTGTGTCAGGATGCCCAGCCAGGGAGGGAGTGGTGCCCTCGCCGATTCCTGAGGACAGGAGACTCATTCACTGTAAACCAAGTACAGATGTGCTGGGGGGAAGGGGGTGTTAGGGCCATGGGCCACATTCCCAAACCGCAGCTGGGCTTGCCCTCCTTCCACCAGCCACCACCAGGGCAGGAGGGGTTAACTCTGCAGCCTCCTGGCAGGAGCCCTGATACTCAGGCAGGCCGCCATCCCATCCTAGCCTGGAAGCCTGGGTCCAACTCCCTGACACCCGCCCCTCCCACACTGCTGAGAGTTGCTCCCAGGGTAACCAAGCAAAGTCAACAGCAGCCAGGCCACCTGGGGACGGGACCCTGGCGTACCTATTCCCAGTTCTTCCCACCCCTGGAGAGGGAGGGCCTTGTCTGCTCCCTGATCAACGCGTCCAGACTCTCCTGAGATAGCCACAACATACCCCTTCTCTCCTCTCTCCTTCACCTGACTCTGACTACCCAAAGTGGCCTTTCTCAGGAGGGAGGACACCTGGCCCCCAGGGTGGCTGTAAAGACAGAGTACAGTAATTCCAGTATGGAAAATGTGATGTGACCCAGGTGTCCAGGTCTCCAGTGCAGGCCACTCTGGTAGTGTTGTTGAGGAAGGCCCTTTGTGTATCTCTATCCAACCTAGTCTAGTCCCCAACTACTGCACCCCTTTCTCTATTTTCTCCATACCTGTCTCCACTCCCTGCAGGAGTATGTGGGGTCCATGTACAGAGTTTGGGCAGCAGTCCTGCCTTTTCCTTTGTCCTCAGTTGGATGGGGAGTAAAACCCTTGGGTTCCCACTGTGGGACCTAGTCTATGATAGCCATGTTGAAGTCACAGACTGTTCCCATCAGACACTGATTATGAGTAACAGTATGCACGTGTGTGTGTGCGCACACACACACACACACACACACACACACACACACACACAGGCAACGACATTCATGGCAGGCAGGCATCAGGCACTCATCTACCAGGCAGGCGCTGGCTAAGGCAGACACACACCCTCTGCCTGGGTTTTCTCCCTCACACCCAGCCCAAGGCTCCTCCTACTCCCAGCTCCAGATGGTTCCCTCTGCCCTCTACCCCAGTCTTCCCCCTCCAGATCCAACACTGACAGCCAGAGACCCAGGCGCCCAAACTCCAGAGCTTAGTAAAGCCAGGAAGAGAGAGAGGTCTGCGTGTTGAGGCCTAAGCAGCCCCCGCAACCCACTCACTAGTTTACTCTTGAGACCAAGGGACGCTCTAGCATAGGCAAGGGAGGTGAGAGACCACTTAGACCTGCAGTAAAGGTTAGGCAAGGGGTGAAGACAGTGGTATGTGCTGAAGTACACCCCCTGTCCTGGCACTTTACCCCTGGGAGGACATGGGTATCCCCATTGCCCACTCTGGAGTAGAAGGAGGCATCACCCAAACGCAGCCTGGCTAGGGATAACTCAGCCAGTCCCTCAAAATGGCAGAACGGAAAAATGCCAGGGAGAAAGGGTGGCATCATGGGGCCTAGGGCACTGACCTCTTCTGCCAACCTTACCCAGCCTCCCTGGGGATGGAGTCTCGGAAGCCGGGCAAATGGGAGGGGCAGAGACCCAGGCGTCCTGTCCGCCCCGCCCAGCCCCCCCCTCCTACCCACCCTCCGCCCCCCAGCCCCAGGGCACCGAGGAGGGAGCCGGGCAGGGGCAGGAGGCAGGGGAGGGAGGAGCGAGGGCGGGAGGGGGAGGAGGGAGCCGAGCAGGGAGGGAGGTGAGGGGTGGAGAGGGAGAAAAAGAAAGAAAATATTTTCCGTGTCCCCGCCTGCAGAGTCAGTGTGCGGTTTGGGAGAAAATGTGTCGGATATTTTGGGGAGGTCACGTGGGCGGGCGGGCTCTGAGAGGCCCCGGGACAGTCCCAGCCTAGAGCCATGCCCCCCCAAGAACCCCCCATTACGACAAGCCCCTGACACTGAGACGCTCCATCCCGCGACCATCCGACGCCGGGACCTCGGGGCTCCGCGCCTTCCCTTCCCCCTCCCTCCCCCTCCAGGTGAGTCTGGCGGGGAAGAGGCTGGCCCGCGGCTCGGACGCCTGGGTCCCCCAGCGCGGTGGGCTGGGCGCGGGGGCGCTAAGGAGCCGGAGGGTTCTCTTCGGTGCTCTTAGGCAGTCCGCAGGGCTTGGAGGGGCTTCCTGCCTGGACTTGGGGTCAGCTCGGGTGTATGTAGGGAAAGGAGAAGTGTTTAGAGAGGGCGAGGATGATCTTGGGTGTCTACTCTTAATTTTGGTGAGTAGAGGGGAAGACATTTGGGCAGTGGTCTTCAGTCCAGGACATCTCTCTTTTACTTTGAGAAGGGACCTAGTGGCCTCTCTCAAACTTTCCTGGAGGAACTCTATGGGGTGGTCCAAACTAGTCCAAATGGAATGGCACAGCTTGGACCTAGGCAGGGCAAGGGAAGGGTCCTTGGCAAATAATCCTAGACTTTTGGGCCAGGAGTTTGGAAGGACAAAGAGATAGGATAGAGGTTTGGTGAAAGTGTCTTTGGATCAGCAGACCACAGTTTCCCATGAGTTATACCTAACCATGACCAAGAGTTCCCAACCAAGGTAGAGAACTCCTTTCCCTACCTTTCCAGCCAAGGTAGGGAACTCTTCTGGTGTTTTCTTGAGGGGAGCCTAAAGGGAACAAAGGAAGAGCAGCAAGATGATGGGACAGGGAGAGAGTCCTAGACCAGAATGCCACTGACATTGCGTCCTGCCTTGGTCAGTTTCAGTCCAGTCCCCTCAACCTGACACAGTATGTAGAGGAGAATCACTGCAAGTGGTCAGAGGGTAAGAGGGTGCATAGGTAGGACCTGGGAGTGGGGGGCATGGGAGCTAGAAGAATGGTCTGTAGGACCAGAAACTGAGGTGAACATGTCCCTCAAGGTCCTTACTCAAGGCAGTTGGAATCCTAGTTTTCAAGTCTGAGATTTCTGCCTTTACAATCACTCCTTAGATGTTGAGTTGAAGTTGATGACTGCAATCAGTACCCCACATCTTTAATGCAGGAAAAGAAAAGAAGAGACTAGGGGAGATATAAGAGGGCACACATGTGGAGAATGCTGGGGTACCTCTTCCCAAATACATATACATACACACCGAGACATATATAGGTTGTGGCTCAAAACCTGGTAGGCAGCACACAGGGCACGCCCCCCCCCCAATCAGGCACACCCCCACCTGGCTCAGAAAGCCACCTAACTGGCACCTCCAGTTCCCCCCCTGCCCCACCCTGCCCGTGCCCTCCGATGCCCACACACATTCCACTGGCATTGCCTGCCTGCCTCCTAGGCACTGCCCCTCCCTGGGGCCAGTGGGGTGGAGGGAGGGCACCTGGGATGAGAGGTGGAGACTCAAGGGTCTGAACTCCCCTATGGATGGCACATAGCCAAGGAAACCCAGGCGGCCACTGCCTCCTGGGGAACAGGCTAGGGGCCCAGGAGAGAGCAGAGGATGCCTAGATTCTCCGCCCAGACTAGAGATGGGGTCATGGAAAAAGGTGGTCGTGTTTATACAGAGGGGAGGGGGGCAGCGGGTAGAGAGCAGCTGACAAGACCAGCTTTGTTCCAGGCTCTGGAGTGGGCAGGGCAGCAGAGAGATGCCCCCCACATTCAGCAGCCCCCTTCATCCATGCCCTCCCTTCAGCTCCATTTTAGCTCTAAGAGAAGCAGCTTTGTAAAAGCCCCTACCTCAGATCAGCCCCCATCAGAGGTACTATCTCAGAAGTGTTCTCTCGCTTCCACAAGCCCCCCCCCCCAAAGAACTTAGGTGTCTGGGTCTCTAGTTTTAAGATTTCCTTTTACTCTGCACAACTGTCTTCAATTCCCCCTGGTCCTTTCTTCCACCTGCACATGAGACCCTTCAAGGAAGAAATCAGTACTAGAAATGGGATGTCTCTCTTCTCCCTTCCACTCTTCACACAATTCCAGAACCCTCTCTGAGGCAAAATAGGAGGAAAGCCAGGGAAATGTGACTTGTGTTTGGCTTATTTGTAAGCTTCATTCCCTGGTGAGGTCTAGAAGTCTAAGCATCCCTGTCTGGATCCCCACCTGAAGTCAGGTCTCTGTTTCCCATTACAGGTTAAAGGCAAGGCAATGAAGACCAGAGCAGAGCCAGGTTGCCAGGCTGAGCTGAATCTGGGGAAGGTGGTGGTAGAGGTGGTAAGGGCCTCTAGTAGCTTTTCACTCTTGGCACTGGAGGGGTTAATCCACCTGGAATGTGGCCCAGCCTGTTGGCCTGTTGAGCTATGGCCCTGGGGCCTCAGGGGCCCCTGGACTCCTGGCTCCACCTGGGTTCTACCCAGGATAGGACTTTTGAGAGTAGAGGGGAGGAAAAAGAGAAAGACCCTAGAGACATGAAGCTCAGACTTTTACGGCCTGGGGAGACACTAGGTAAAGAGTCTAAGGGTGCTAGAGATGAGGAATGTCTAGTGAGGGACATTAAATATTGTATGCTTAGTGAGAGGGACAGGAGATGCTGTATGGTTTGGAACTGAGTGAGGGCTTGTGATGTTAGGGTCTGAGTTTCATCATCCTCTATGCAGTTTAATCTCAGGGGCTTGAAGGCCAAAATAGATTAGGAATGGAAAAGAAAAAGAAGACAGTAAAAGGAGAGGTACAAAGACTGAGAACTATTGATCCTAGAGGTAAATACAGATGGAAAGGGATGCTGAGATAGCTTTCATCATCTCTAGGCCTGCCCACTCCTTAGTATCTATGTGTTTTGATCTCTGTTGCCCTTCTCTGCCTTCTTCATATCAGCCCGTTAGGACTCTGGTTGGTGGAGGAGGTGCCCAGGCCTGGGTGACTCTCCCTTCCCAACCTACTAACTACCAAGAAGTGGGTGGTTCTGGGGCTCCTAGGAAAGTCAGCCTTTCTCTGTCAGAGCATCAGGAGAGGAACCACCAGCCAGCCTGGCCCAAGGATTCCCATTTCCTCTTTCCTTCTTCTCCTGCATTCCTGGTCTCAAGTTAATAAAAAAGAAAAAAATCTCATCTGAGAGGATAAACTGCATTTAGGATAAGAGAAAATACAGCAAGAGCCTAGAAAAGAAAGATAAAGGGAGATGAAAAAGCAAAATGGGTTGAAGACGAGAAGAGCTACCTATCATTGTAGGTACAAAGAGAGGATTCCATTACTATCTGTGGAATTGAAGAATAGGGTTCAAGAGAAGTTAGGGATTGAGGGATAATTGGAAACAGAAGAATTTGGAAGGAAAACTAGAAATATTGAGGAAGGTGGCTTAATGGTAAAAATCTATGCTGCAGCCCCAAAGGCATGCAGTTGAATCCTCCAGCTCCTCTGAGGGACAAGGATGGGCAATCTCCTCCCTTGTGATTAACTGCCTCTGAAAACTCATTAAAGTGTCAGCTATGGGTTGGTTCTGACTTGATGGTACACAACAACAACATATAAAAAGAAATATGTATAAATGCTATATTTTATATATGTAAAATAAATATATAAATAATGTATAAGCACATACATGTATAAATATACTCACACATGCATGTAGATGTGGTGGTGGTTTGGTGTTGTCAAGCCAATTATGACACATAACAGCCCCAGGTGACAGATAAAGACAGGACCTTAGAATTTTCTAGACTTTTATCCTTCTGAGAGCAGATTACCAGATCCTTCTCCTCAAAGTCACTGGATGAGTTTGAACTGCCAATCTTTTTGTTAACAGCTGAGATATCTGTATGTCACTATATAAATAAACTTTAGGGTAGTAGAGAGTTTGAGTCTTATTTTCACCACCTGTCACTATCATGTGACCTCAAGCCAGTCATTTAACCTATTTCCTGATTTGCAAAATGGAATTAATAATTCTTAGTTCACAGGGTTTATATAAAAGTTAAACCAAAAATCCAGCCCAGTGCCTGGCACTGTTAAGTAAATGCTTAACAACTGGTCAGGAAGCACTGATGGGACAGTGCTTAAAGATGCTTGGCTGATAATGGAAAGGTCAGGGATTTGAACTCACCAACCACACTTTCAAAGAAGGATTTAGCAGTCTACTTTTATGAAAATTCAGTCTTGGAAGACTTAGGAAGCATTTCTTGCTCTGTCTTTAGGGTTGCTGTGAGTCAGAATCAATTCCACAGCTATGGATGATAAATGACTACTTTTCCATCTAGCAGGAGCCTTGGTGTGTTATGTGTTGGTCTGCTCGAGGGGAGAAAGATGACACTGTTTTCTGCAGTAAAGTTTTGTAGCCTCTGAAATTCAATAAACGGTTGACAGGTGTTGGAAGGGAATTGATGATATTGAGTTTTTAACCTATGAGTTCTCAGACCATCATTAAACTTAAAACTTTGGTTTACACTTCCCTGGAGCTAATCTGGAGTTTCTCCAAGTCTGCATAGTCCCCCATCCTACCCCACTTACCTCTTTGCCAGATCCCTGAGCCAGAACAGTAGCAGCATAGAGAAAGAAGACTTGAACTGAGAGAGCGGCCCTGGGACTTGGAACCACAGACTGACCATTCTCTCACTCCCCCTTGTCCTCTCTATCTTCGTAGGACTCTTGGAGACCCAGTGAGCCGACCAGAGAGGGCGGGCACGGAGCCTCCCAGACTGGGGCAGTGGGCATGGGCGGGGGCTGTGGCTGAAGATCTCCCCCGCCCATTGCAGACCCCAGGGGATTCAACCTTGCACACTGCTGCTGCCATGGCCACCAATAAGGAGAGACTTTTTGCAACTAGTGCCCTGGGGCCTGGCTCTGGCTACCCAGGGGCTGGCTTCCCCTTTGCCTTCCCAGGGGCACTCAGAGGGTCTCCACCATTTGAGATGCTGAGCCCTAGCTTCCGGGGCCTGAGCCAGCCTGACCTCCCCAAGGAAATGGCCTCTCTGTGTAAGTCTCAGGGATCTTGGGGGGATGAAGGCAAATGGAAATTGGAGGATATTCAGCAAGTGGATGATGGAGAAAATTGGCACCCTGATTATGGGGTGATCTAATGAAAATCTAATGGTTTGATCTAATGGAGAAAATAGCAGGGGTGGTAAGGAGGAGGTTTGGATGTAGAACAAATGGAAGTGTTTACAAATGTGAGGTCTCCTGTGTAAATAGGAGGGGGAAGTAGCATGCCTAAAATTGGGGATCTAGAAAGTCCAGCTGACTGAAGGCTGACATTTCCTCCTGAGTCAGTCTACTAGCAGAGGAGAACACCTTTGTGTGGGCAGCTAGGGGCGGGGTCTGGTAAAGTCTGAGGCTGCTGTCTGCATAGAGTAGAGGGTGGGGGAAGCCAGACTGGGAAGTAGAAGAGTCTAGAGGTCAGTCAGGTGGCTCTGTGATCAAGAGGTGAAACTGTTGAGAATTAAAAGGCGGCTCCAGAACGAGGAAAGAAATCTAGTGCTGAGTGTCTAAAGTTCTGTGGAGTCAGGAGATTCTCCTGTTTGGTTCTGGGGAGGATGGGGAAAAAGTAAAAAAGAAAGTGGCATCATATAAATTATGTGGGGAGGCGGAGAAGGTGTTCCAGAAGCATCCTCTCCTCTAGCCATGTGGGTTCTGGGCTCTTTCCCTCCCTCTTATTTGGCATATTGCCCACATGCCATGCAGATCCCTACTTGTCCCTCAAACCTGCCCTTTTTGGGCTAAGCCTTTGAGTGCTGACAGCCAAGCAAATCTTGGAGATTTTCTTCTAGGTCACCTCTCCTTTCACTTTAACAGTAGTTCCTCCTGGTCGTGCCATTACTGATGGGAAGCGCATGACCAGAAGGCCAGCATACTGGGCTCCGTAGGGTAAAAGTTTTAGTATGTCAGCTGTTGAAGACAAGGACTTACTTGGGAAGGAGTAAAGGTGACTGGAAGAGGGACAGAGAGATTCCATTCCCTCATATCCTTTGTGAATGCTACAAGTTAAAGCAAAGGCAGAAGAGAAGGGCCCTGCCTTCAGCAGGGAGTTTGGGAGGGTGTATGTATGTGCAGGGGGATGGCTAGACTAGGCTGGCAGCTCCACTGGAAAGAGTGTGCTCATCGGAGAAGGCATGTGTATATGTGTGTGTAAGTGCATATGTGCAAGTGTGGTAAGACTTGCGCAGTGTGTGTGCACATCTCTCCGAGACTCTGCTTATGCACACAATTCCAGCATGTATAGCAGAGTTAATTGATGTGAGGTGTGAAGAGGTATTTAATAGGGCTTCTGACAGTGTGTCTGGTGTTTGGTGAGGCCTGCTGGTGGCATGTTCGTAGTCTGACAGGGATTATTTAAGGGGCATGCAGGTGAACAAGAGAGCATAAAGTCTCCCTTTACAAAACCTCTGTTGGGCCTCCTCATTTTCACCTGCATAGTCTGTGTTGGGAGTCTAGCGAGATTGGAAAGAACCACCCTCTCTACATAATAGTTCTTGCAGGGGAACCATACAATTCTGTCTCTTGGAACTTGATTTCTTGTAAGTTCTGGGAAAGGTAAATAAAGGAGCTAAAGCAAGAAGGGAGAAGAGAATGGTAGGGAGGGGGGAATGGTTGAGAAAATGCTGAGAGCTAATAGTCAATTCCCTGCAAAGTACTCCCTATATCCTTGTGCCTCTATACCCTGGACATGTTGAGATCTAGGTCAGAGTTCAAAGTGAGGTCAAGGTAGGGAACAGGTCAGGCTGTGTCCCATCACCAAAGGCTGCCCTAAAGGAAGGAGGCTGAGAGGAGAAATCAGAAGGAGGAGCCAGAACTAGGGCAGGTAGCTCAGGAGGGTGTGGCTGGCAGTAGGGAACAGGCCTGGGCAGAGAGTTAGTGTTGAGAGTTGAGAGGAGGGGGAGGCTTTGGCCCAGACAGCGTGGAGGGGGTGGGGTATGTACTGCCTCCTGGTAGTTGACAAGCATAAAAGATGCAGAGATTCTAAAGTCTGGGTAGCCTCTCAGAATGGAAGAGTTTCCAAAATGAGAGGCTACTGACCTCATTTCTCTGATGAGAGAGTCATTAGAGACCTATGTCTCATGCCAAGGCCATACCTACCAAGAGTTAGTGTCTCTGTCATCCTTTGTCTCTTATTACATGAGAGACAGGGATGTCCAAGAAGGATCCTGGGACTTCACTCTGAGACTGGGTTTTAGATCTTATTGCTAGGTCCCTGGCAGCTCAGGGGTGTCCTTGTTGAGAAAGATGAGGCATCTATCCGAGACCCTTGTAGTGGAAGAGGGGAGATGTGCAGGGATTGTGTGCTGACAAGACAAGCATAGGCTTGTGTGGATGGGAAAACATAGAGAAAGAGTGTGTGTGTGAAGCCTTGATGTCTGTGTCTTTGTATCTCTGTGAGAACACTGCTGTGTTGAATGTTTACTTTATTCAGGGTATAGGGGAATAGTATGATAGAAAGGAAGGGAAGTCTTGCCCTCTGCCTCCTTTTGAGGAGAGAGAACTGTGATCTTAAGAACCTGGCCCAGCTTTTCTTTTGTCTCTGGTGATGGTGCCCCAGTCACTGAACTAATAATGTCTGTCTGCGGGACAAGTATTTAGCTCTGATTTTACCACATTTAGCGAGTGCAGCCTGGCATAAAGGAAAAAAAGATCCCTAGTGAAAAAGAGCCAGACAGACTGAAACAAGGTGAGGAATAGATAGATAGAGAAGCCAAAAGACACAGACACAGGGAGAACCCAAATCCTGGGAAAAGCAAGGAGATCAAGCCAGTGGGTAAGAGTGGCAAGCAGGCGGCAGTGAGGCCTCCTCAAGGAAAAAACTCCAGCCGACTGCCTTCTTCCCCTCCCCTCCCCTGCTCTCTTCTCCTCCGGCTCCAGCTCCAGCTCCAGGCCGACACAAACGGGGCTTTGATTGCAACAGGAAACCTCTCGGGCTAAGGGGGGGTGGGGGGTGGGAGCTGGGCAAGCCGCCGTTGGGGCCCAGGCTGTACCCCCCTCTCCTGGCCCCCTACCCAGCCCCAGCCCCCATCCTACCCAATATTTTTCACATCCTAGCTTGGCCCTCTATCCCTGGTTCACACCTCCTTACTCTCCCCTCCTTTCAACTCCTCTCTCCTCTAGGGACCCTTCCCTTTGCCTTGGAGTATCCACCCATCAGGTGGGGCTCCTAAGGTAGGACCTGTCCCTTGAGGTGTAGCTTGCTTTGCTTCGAATAGCCTTTTCAGGCTTTGAGTGAGGCATTTTGTAAGAAAGAGTGGATTTAGCTTGAGGAATTTAGAGCCTGTTATCCTCAGCCCCTGAATGGAGGTTAGTTGTCCCTCCCCCAAAGTCCACTGTTGGCCAAACTCATCCTTGCCAGGTGGTAGAGGCTCTGAAGGGTGACCATGCAAGGTTCTGAAGGCCTTGTTGGTGGTGAGAACAGTTTACCTCTCTGCTCATAACTTTGTGGGACTTTAACTGAAAATTGGGGTCCTCCTTGGCAGTGGGGCTCATAGGGAAGGGGGTGAATCAGTCAGCAGCCCCCTGACCCCCATACTCCCACCAGGCTGGTGGAGAACGTCTGGTTCCCATGAAACATTAGAAGGTTAATGGGTTTAATTGCTGCAATAAGGAATGGGGGAACTTTGGGGGAAAATAGGGAGCACTAGATTCTCCCCATCCTCTTACCTTCTCCCCAGGGTACTAATTCTATGTGTAATGGGGGCTTGAGTTTGATAGAAAAGATGGGCCGGACACCTTAAAGACTGATTTCCAAGGCCTCTTTCTCCCTGCACACAGATGGGGTCCTAAAGAGTGGGGTGCATCTGGTGAAGACAAGGGGGGCTACCGAGGACTCATGATTTCCTGGAGCCTTCCCCCTACTCCTCCTGTGCCCTACTCCCAACCCCCCTCTCAGTGGCCTGGCCACTTCTGGTTCTAATTACCAACCAGGCAGGCTTGACTTAATTGGGACCTTTCAGATTTCAGAGGGTGAGAGGGAGGGCTGACTGACAGCCTGAAGTTAACTAATCAGGGCTCATTCTTCCTGATTTTTGGGGTGTATTACATTTTATGCTTGTTTGTTTTGCCAATGGTCAATATCCAATTCAGGAATATATCACCCATTTTTCTTTTTGAGGGACTGACTGGATGCATAAATGGACTGTTTGGGGTTGGAGGCAAGAACAGGAGCTCCCCTTGGATTTGAAAGAACAGTGTATTCCCTCTCTATTCCTTCTTCAAACCCCACCAGTCAGCCCTACCACCCTGCGTCTCCCCGCCATCCACAAATCCAGCCCTCCTTCCTGCCACCTCTCAGTCCTCCGCAGCCACCCGGGCCCCTCCCCCGTGCCCGCCTTTCCTCTCTCCTCTGGCACCCCTTCCAGCCCTTTATTCTTCCAGACTGGCGCCCCACTCCTGTAGCACCCCAGTGAGCCCCCCACTCGATACAGCAGTTTCTTAGAAAAGCGCACCCCGCCCTGGTCCAGCCACCGCCGCCGGGCGGGGGGAAGGGGCCGGGTCGGGCGCCGCTCCCGCTCCCCCGACGCTCCCCGTGTGAGCGGCGCTGACAGAGCCGGCTGGGCCGGCCCGCCGGGCGGCCAGGCGGGCGGGGCGCGAGGGAGGGGGTGGTTTCCGGGAGTCGCCGCCGCTGGCACTGTCCCCGGGCCAGGGCCCCCGATTCGGCCCGGCCCGGCAGGGGCAAACTCCTGACGTGGCCAACCCCCTCCCCCTCTTCTCTGCCGACTGAGGACGCTCAGTGCCCGGAAGGGGCAACCAACGGAACAGTCAAATGGTCCTTGGAGATCTGAGGGGCACTAAATGTGGCCCTGACGGGGAGAAGTGGCAGTTGTTGCCTATGGTGCGAGTTTTTGGCAACTGCAAGGACAGAAGCGCTTTATTGTCGAATAGTCACTTCGCATTTTGGGGGCTGTTAACACTGTAGAAACTCTGGTGTAGGGGAGATGGCATTCATAGGCAATTTTGTCCGCGGCTTAGTTGGCACTGAAGGAGTATGTTAGTAG